CCTTTCTTTTTCCCCTCGTCCGATCGTCTCCCTCTTCTTCAGATCCTTCACTAGCGATTTTTTGCTGTGGCGACCCAACTGCCGTGATTTTTTGCTGTGGCAATTTTGGTTGTGGTTTGGCCGCGACGCTGCGGTGGTGGTTATGGTGGCAGTTGTGTCGCAATTTTTTGGTTGTGGCGGTGGGGGTCTTGGCTGTGGCAGTTGGGTCGTGATTTTTCGGCTATGGCGGTGGGGGGTCTAGGTTGTGGCGGTTGGAACGCGATTTTGGTTGCGGTTGGGTCACAATTTTGACTGTGATTGGGTCGCGATTCTGGTGGCGATTTTGCGGTGGTTTAGTCGTCATTTGGTTGGGCGGTGGTGGTCTATATGGTGGCAATTTTGGCTGGGCGGTGGGGGTACTTCTGGTGGTGATTTTCCAGTGGTGTTTCTGCGATACTGGCTGTGGTTGGGGGGATTCTGTGGTGATTTAGGTGGCGGTGGTGCAGTGGTGGTCGGTGGTTGAAAACAACGAAAACATGTTTTGGAAATTTTGGCCAAGTTATAACTGAAAACACCCAAAACGACAATTTTGTCGTTTTGTGTTTTCTTTGTAAATTTTCGACCCGTTTTCAAAAACGCGTTTTCGAAAATAGAAAAGAGAACGCGTTTTCACTGTTTTGAAAAATCGAAAACAGAAAACGGGTTGAAAATGACAAAGAGAACATGCCTAAAATATTTCAAGAACAATCACAAATCAGATTATCATCAAGGAGCAAGAAGTGGCACTAATGAACAAATATCTGTGAAGAATCGATTATCTCTTTTATCTGTAAGTGCCATATGAAAGTATGCAACTAATAAACCAATATAGCCCTACCAATAACTGTGGTACCAGTATCTTGTAAATGAATACATATAGAAAGAAAACATTTGCTGCAAGATTGCATGCTAAAATTATCCTATGTGCAAATCCCTTCATAGGCATATCCAAGTATCATGTACATCATTTAATTTGCACGAGTTCATCAAATGATAGGTTTCAAATTACCAGTAACAGACTAACACAAGAGACAACTGTGTTCAGACAAGATGAGTATTGACTAAAGTTCATATCTATCAGCTGAATGCCACCAACTCCAAGAAAATATGCATAATCATCCACATGTGGGTATCAAGCCCACTCCTCAACTGATACAATGTTGACACAATTGTCCACCATAATCTTGTACCTTTCTCAATATTGTTCTCTGCACGAGTCCACCTCAGCCTCTTGTAGGAACCCAGGTGCTTCTATTTGTGAACAACATTATGAAAAGGTATTTCAATCTTTTCGAGTGCTAACTTTCCCATTTTATTTCAGATTCGTCCATGCAATATCTACATATTTCCTTTCAACACTGAACAATCTTTTCTGGATAAAACTTGACCATCTCTTATCAACCATCAATACAGAGTTCAATATGAAGGTAACGTCCAAAATTTTATAAAGTTGGAATAAAAATGAAGAATCAATATTTCTAACTTCGATTTTGATGCAGTTACTAGGCTGGATGCACCGTAAGTTGAGGCAAAATAATACAGAGCTACTGAAGAATTTCACAACAGGCAACTTCTCTGAAGACACCAATTATCTTTAATAAAGTTCAGAAAAGCTTGAAAATTAATTTTCATTTTTGTGTCTTCTTTTCTTCCTCTTTGGAATCATGTAGACGAGAGCAAATCTTATACCAGCAGTTAAGGACAATCTGTCATACTGTGATATCTTTGTGGCATTTAATTGCCTTCAAAATATTGTAGAGAGATTAACATGCTCCTAGCTATGTCAACGAGCCAAGCCGAAACTCAAAGCTCGGGCTTGGCTCGAGCAAAACAGGTCCGAGCTTTTTTGGGCCCGAGCCGGGCAAAAACTCGGCCAAAAAAATGAGGCTCGGCCCGAGCCTTAGCGGGCAGAGCTGAGCTGAGCGCCAGCGGAGCCGGCCCGTGTTTTTTTTTTTCAAAATTCGTTATAAATCTATAATTTTTTATAATTTATTTAAAATTTGTGCAATTTATACGTGTTATAAATAATAATTAAATATTCATATATATAAAAAACACATTTAAACTTAATAGAAAAATTAATTTTTTTTTTATATTACTTAGTCACGGGCAGGTGACGAGCCAAAATGGGGCTCGGCCTGAGCCTTGGCTTGGTGGAACTGGCCCGGCTTGGGCTTTTCCGGGCTGAGCCCGAGCCGATGAACTTTTTTGCATCCCTACATGCTCCTGAAAAAGGTGGCCAACAGATTAAAATCTAAGCTACAAAATGAAGTTAAGGAATTATCGGGAGCAACCAAACCGTCAAAATTTGACAATTGGATGAGTAGCAAGCAGCTTCCCTCCTTCCCAATAATTGTCATACAAAAACATTTAGGTAAAAAATCTAACTGTTAACGAGAATATCATTTCATTTTGGATTTCAGGAAACCCCTCCAATAGCCTCTCAGTGCAGGCATTTTCTGATGAGCACTACGATCTAGACCCAGTCAAGAAATTTTCACTCAAACACAGTGTAAAAAATTTTCAAATATTCAGAAGTTTCCTTCCAAGAAGACTCATTTGATCCCTTCGGCTTTCTTGCAATTGGTACTTTTGGTATGGAACTACTCAATGCAGATCCACCAACTCAAAGATTTACTGTGCCTTGTATGAATTTGACTAATGTACAGAGATAACAAACAATGACCTCGAGTTTATTAACTATGAGCTGGACAAGTTTCTTGAAGCTGAAGCAAAAGAGATAGCCAATGACTCTTCAGAGAGTAGTCAAGCAAGTATTATAACCCTCAGTAACAAGCAAATTGAAGGAACAGATTCTGAGGGCAGAAACACTGTGCCATGTCCTTTGCAAAATTATCTCTTTGGCCCTTTAATTGAACAGGCTGGGACTGGGGTAGAGGCAAAAAAAGAAAAAAAGACATCACTTGGGGACCTCTTTAAGAGGAACGTACTCCATGATGATCCTAGCAGAAAATGTGAAGAATCAGAGAGAGAAGCGAGGGCTTCATATGTAACACGTTTCATGAAGAAGATGGTTAAGAATTTCCATTCCACAACAAGCAGTGGTACTGTTTCGTCTAAGGGAGATGCTGCTGAATCCATTTCAATTAAAAGGAAACTCCCCAAGGTCCGTTAACTCATACTAACTCTCCTAATAACTACCGATCAAGATTGGCTTCCATTTTTGCAGTTTTGTAGACATTTGAATAATTGCAAGTACAAGGTCATGCAAACAAACACCAACACTGAAGTCGCTCAATAAATAGGATGGCAAACTATCAGATTCTGCAACAACTTCGGCAAAAGATCTTTCTATTCTATACTAATTTATTCACTTATAATATAGAAAGAACTTCAGATTGCCATATTCACAGTGAATCATCTGCACTTGGAAGGGATGTATCGTCCTAGGTATTCAAACATAACATCATCAAGTCTTATCATCTAATTATATCCAACAGGAAGTCACTAATTTAATTTCAGTCCCCCAGTGGCAACCCAAGTATCCCTTCATAGAAGCTTTCATATAAATGACTCTTGGCATTTACCAAACAATAATATTTTTATGATATAAATTGAAGTGGTTATAACAATTTTTGATTGTGTTATAAGCAGACCCTAAAAGTGTTTTGCATGAAGGTTTACCCTGAAGAGATGACCACAAAACAGTTCACGAAGTTACAAAAAAGTAAGATCAAAAACATTTCCCATGAGGTTGGCTATCAGATTGGAGGCGGCAATAGAAATAAAAAGCTTGCTCAAGCGCCCAACATAAAGAATGAGAAGAATAGCATGAAACTATTTTCAAATGGTGTTGGTAAAAGCAGTGTTCTAAAATGCGTAATGCGTTGCATCGAGGCCGAGAATCAAGAATCGCAAGTTTAGGCGTGTCAATGCGAAGAATAAGCGTCATAATGCGTTTCGTATTTTTAAGGCATTAAATATATTTTTATATAAAAAAAAAATAGATTTTTTACCCAAAAAAAAATAAAAATTAGGCGGCACATTTAGGAGGGATTAGGTGCACCTAGGTGGGATTAGGCGCGCCTAGGCCGTCTTTTAAAACAAAAACGCATTTTTTCGCGCATACCCCGAATTCGACACTTTTTCTCCACGCGTCGCGCCTAGGCGACGCATTTTAGAACATGGGGTAAAAGTGCTTCAACCGTGAACGGAGAGCACTGGATTAAGACAGATACTGATTGTAAGTCAAAATGTTAAATATAGACATGAATCAGTCATAGATCGACCATATCCTAATTAAGTGCAATATCACTCTTCCTTTTGTTTGCACTTTAGACTTGGTCTTGGAGCTGTAGAGGCAGAAACAATTGAAGCAAGGAAACAAGTCCTCGTCCATTCCAGTGTCAATATAGTTGTTTGTTAACGTAAAACATATATGCAACTTTATTTATGATTGAGGTGTGAATTCCAGGTTGAGAAAATAAAAAAAGTCTCTCCTATCTCCACGAGCTTTCCAGTGAAGAAACAGAGTAATGGATTGCAATGCTGTGTTTGCACATTGCTCTTAAAATAGAATGTCTATTTCTGAAAGAACTCGTATAAAATGTGAAGAAACAAATATAGCTGTTCCTGTCGTGTGTAATTTAACAAGTGCTTATGTTGGAATTATACAATTGCAGCAAACATTTTGCACATATCTTTGACACCTTCAACATATGTAACTGTCATAAATTTGAATCTGGTATGTTAGAAGGTTGAATTCATACTGAAGGGCACATGATTATCACATATCTGGAAAGTCACCAGGGAAACTAATATAGGCAACCGCAATAATTCTTTCTACTTTTGCTATCATCATGCAATGTTTCTATAGGTAGCTATATTTACTTCTATGTGCATCTACCCTTTCCAGTGTTTATAGATCTGCAAGGAAAGGAACTAGGTAAATAACTAAGCACAATTATACCTCACTCTTAGCATCATAAGTTGATCAAGTAGAGAAAAGAACTTGCTGAAAATCAAATTGGCAGGAGGTCACTTTTCAATACTCCTCCCATCTCCATCCTCCAGGATTGATCTACAAGAGAGGCCAACTCTCTGATAATATACATATAGATTATCGTTAGTAGATATACAAACACTGCAAAATAAGAATAACATAGCAATTCCATCCATTATTTCTTTGCCTAGATATGGAGTTTATTTCATAAGCATGCACTTTCAAAATAGTTTGATGCTACTGGAAAGTGCCACTAAAGAACATGATAACCAGTATTAAATTAAAAAGTTCAAAGTGATTCCAGTACCCCCTGCTAGATACAGAACATTAATCATAATAATTTCAAACATCCAGACCGACAACAAACATAAATGAATCTGAATCTTATTATCGATAAAGCTGAGGTTGGACACATGAATCCCTTTTCACCACTCTATTCGATAGTGTCCAAGTCAGTTTTAAGTTAAAAACCCATGAAACAGAAATCTGTAAGTGCATTTCTTCAAGGACGTTTCAACAATTTATAGCAGGCTGATGCCGCTGATCAACTTCTAGGACTGAAAAACGGTTCTTAATTTGAAAATTGACTTCAATCACCATCTAAGTAATGTTGTCTTTCAAGTAAATTTCCTGTCAACTATATAGCCTTGTAAATCTTAAATCATAAAGCATGTTCCACACTTGCTTGCAAAACCGTAGCCCATGATAAGAAAAATAAGTGTAAAAGAATATTATCCTTTGTGTTTCCCTTAAGTAGCTAGGTAACCATCCCAAAGTGGACTTCAATATGGGCAACTAATTCATGCTTTTAAGAGGAGCACATGCTCCCCCAAGATCAACTATCAGCATCAAGTGATATTCACACATCAAAAATGACAGTCATAATTAGGCTGAAAAATTAAAAATGTACTGAAACATGATCACTTAATTTCAGACTAAATGGTAGTTACGAGATTGCAACAAAATGCGGTCTCCATTTATATATTTTATGCCTCTAGGAGTAACAGAAGCAATGATGGGGTGCTAGATATGTGATGTTTCAATAAAACAAAAGGAGTCACCTATGATGCACCGACACGGACATGTGTGTCCGACACGATACGTGTCGGATACGCCGACACGCGATTTTTAAAAAAAGTACAGACACGACACGTCATCGACGTTGATTAAATTTTTAAAAATTCTTCATTTATATAGTAAAAATTTAGTTTTATACTTGTTAATTTTTCTTGTTTAAATCTTTTAAACATGAGTACCTATTTGTTACTTACTAATAATTTTGAATTAACAATATATAATATTTCTAATATAAAAAGAAAAATGATTATGGTAGAGTGTCAGAGAAGTATCGGTATCGACTCGCATCGGACACGGACACGCTACCCTAATTGAAGTGTCCGTGCTACAGAAGGAGTCACCTATATCAAGAAGATGAGCTACCCAACATGTTCGAAAATTTACAGCAGGATAAAAGCTTTTCCCAGGAAAAGGAAGAAATATTGGCAGTAAGCCGGTAGACAAGCAGATGTCTAAAATTCGAACTTACTTAAGGTCATGACTGACAACAAGCAAAGTCAGCTCTTTCTTCAGATTCTTCAACAATTTAACAACATCTGCACGGGCCTTCCAATCTAATACAGACAAATGTTCAGTAATTTTAAAGTGAGAACTAAAAAGACATGAAGTTAAAAGCATCAGTTGATATTTTTCTAAAAAGGTTCATACTACTTTGCTCGTGCAACTACAAGCTACATATGAAGATATAGACAAAAAATAGTGCAGCAGTAGTGCAATTAAGAGCAAATTCCACTAATGGCAAACAAGTGTATCCTAAACTATCTAATGAAATTAATCAGACTTTGGTGATGTATTTTAGATCTGTGTCTTCAACATGACCTCTCATTTCCAAGCTTTAATTCATTGGGATAAGAATGTGCTGTTTATTGCAATGGGTTGGTGGACACTGAATTAAGGAACTTTGCATATTTGTTCTTTGTTTCATTTTCAACAAGTTCTAACAATAACAATAAACTAAGACTTTTTCCCAGAAAATTTGGTGTTGGCTACCAAAGAACTGAGAATCATTGACTGGGACAATGTCCCCTGTGAATCATTTACGCCACTCCCTTCTATCCATCACAAGATCTAAAAAAGATAAAATAAAAACAAATCTTTTGCAACCACATCAAGACCATGTTAACTTTGGTCTACCTCTCATTCATCTAAATGTTTTATTAGGTATCCACTCTTATATATAGGAGCTTCATTAAGTCCGAATAAAATATGCCCAATCTAACTAAGTCATCCTTTAATTTGTTCACATAGGTACCACCTCCACTTGTTCGACGTGTATTCTTATTTTATCCATTTTAGTATGACTACACTTTTTAACACCAACATCGCTGCTTGGTTCATCTTATAGATATGTTGTTTTAACAGCCAAAGACTCATAGCATGTCTGATCTAGTAAAACAATTTTGTAAAAATTGCCAACTTAATAGGGTACCTTTTCCAATCTTGCTTCTGATTTACAGAAACTACGCCCCTGCTCTTGACAACCATTATTTTGAAAAAAAAAAGTTTTGATTAGATATTTTTAGTAGAATGTGTGGTTAAAAAGTTAGGAAAAGTTTTGGGTTTACATGCAAAATATTTTATTATGTGAATGTGTGGTTGAAAATGAGTATATAGAAAAAAGAGTTTTCAAATAATAGTTGTCAAACACGGACTATATCTAATTGGTTATTCTATAATCGCAACGCTACCAACCTTCCCCACTGATATGTTTCTAATTGATTACTTAAGGTCCTCTGAGAAGAAGAATACGGAAAACTCAACATGACAATAGCAAAGTACAGAAATAAAGAACCATGCTATGTCAACGAGTCGAGCCGGAAAAAAAAGCTCGGGCCCTTTTGGGTTGAGCTTTTTTGAGCCCGAGCCGAGCCAGCTTGACCAAAAAAAATGAGGCTCGGCCCGAGCTTTCGTCCCGAGCCTTAGAGGGCCGAGCCGGCTCGGGTTTTTTTTTTTT